TCTATCCTCTGACCTCCGGGACCAAGTTCAATCTCCAGGGGCCAATGGCTTGATCAACCATACAGTGTTCTTTCCCAGCAGAGCTGCAGTGGCATGTAGAACACTTTTCTGAGTTCTGGGAATCATTCTAACAAATCATGAAACATGATGGAACTCCCACATCTTTAGTCAGGTGAGAAGAAATGTGTTTCACATGGAGACCCCACGTGTGGCCAGTACTGAAGTGGGGGAAGTCAGTCTTATGACAGTGGGACCTCAACTTGTGATTTCTAAAGCTAACTCCAGGCAGATGCCAGAAATGAACTGAATTGTTGGATACCCAGTAGTGTTGGAGAATTGGTGTGGAAAAGAACATGTACTTGGTGACAGTGAAAAATAGCACACATTTGGTAGCAGAAGTGGTGTTTTACAGAAAACAATTTACATGCTAAATTTTGTGTAAGTAATGAGAACCAAGATTGGGTGTGTTTGCTCTTACTTGCACATGAAATGCAAACAGGTAGATCAGAGCACAGTTAAAATGATTATCTAAGAACAAAAATGAAACAGCATGGCAAAGACAGAGATAAGAGCAAGACTTCTGTATATAGACTTTTTTGATAGCTTTAACTTTTGAATCATGTAAGGGTTTACCTGTTGAATAAGCCTTAATTCTTTGCTGTTATGTGCATTCCCTAATTATGTAACTCACAAGTGAGCATTCTGGGAACTGGGAAGAAAAACAATGTGCTATGAGCTAGCAGGTCCATGGGAAAGTTATCACTCTGCCATTCAGGGTCTTGATCACAACAATTGTACTTAGATCATGAAATTACATTGATTGATTAAAAAGATGGCACATACTTTGAATAAATAAAAGACATTAGCATGTGTGTTGGATTCCTCACACACCCTGCACAAGGAGAACTAAAGATGTGAGGATTGATGGGTGGTCTGTGCTTTTATGGGAAAGTTTGTTCCCCAAAACCAAAAATGTCTTCTGATGACGGCTGTGAATTTTCAATCCTAATCTCAGACTCAAGAAGAAAACAAAACAGAATATACAGTACACGAGTAAAGCAGAAAGAGAAAAGTAAATATCTATTTTAAGTGAAAATCAAATAGCAGGCATTGAGAGGCTACAGAACGGCGGAGTAGCAATGTTGGATGAAGTCAAAAGTCTTACATAAATAAAAGTGAGTCAGAGGCACCCTCAAATTGAAAAGTCATACCAAGTTAAAATTTGTATAAAATGAAAAGAAAAAGATAATCCCTGCCTTGTCACTCTCTACCGAAACACAGAATATCAAGGACAAAGCCACGGGAAAATAAAGACATCTTGCCAACAAAGGAAGAACAATTGATCTTAGAGAAGATTTCAAGGTGATGTCAGAAGATAGTGAAATAATATCCTCAAACAGTTGAAGGGCAACAGTGTCAACTCAAAATTTGATCCTGAGGAAAACTATCGCTTATAAAGATAAAGATATTTGCAGAAGACAAAGATATAGAAAATCCACTATCATGCATGCTCCATAGGGAATGGGAAAGTGGTCATTAGCAGAACTCCTGTAGTGGATTCTGCTCTTCTGTGAGCCACAACAGCACAAGGCTTATCAGAATAAAAACAAGAAACAAGACTTCAAGAAAAGGCTTGGTCTTGGGCCTGATCCGAGCTGTTCTAGACAGCAAAGAGAGCTTGCCACTATTTACTGGGTACATGGGGAGCATCAGATGACTCGGAGGATGAGGATCTTATACTAATGAGTATCTTAGGTCTAGGAGGAGTTTATGTTGATTAGGATGGTGAATGAGCAAAACTTCTTACAAAGGTAGACGGGAAGAGTTAAGCTGATAAGGAGCTTGTCCCTCCCCAGGTGAAAACTTTCTCTTTTTGCATTACTACTCGGTTCTCAAGAACCAGGATGTCTTTAGCTGATGTAATCTTCCCATTGAGCATCACAGCATCATGGGACTATTGAGGCCTCAGGCAACTCTAACCATAATTTAACTGTGAAATGATTTTTTCCCAAAAAATCACATAGAATGGCTCCCAACAATGCTCTATGTCAGGGATTGGCAAACTGCAGCCCACTGGCCAGACCTGGCTCACTAGCTGTCTTCAGTCCTATCTGCTTGAACACTGTGCCAGGTACACCAGCAATGTTGGTCTGGAGTCAGGAGGGCAGAATAGTAAACAGACAGCACCAACACCAAAAATATTTATTATGTACAAAAAGAAAATATTTACTAGTAGTCGCATAATAGAAAAAATAGTTTAATAGTAGCATATTTAGTATTTCCATAAAATTGTTGCTGATCCCTTCTCTACAGGACTCAGGATGTGCCCATGTCTTTATCACTCCAAATAACCTGTGTTTATTTAAACTATTTGTTAATCTTTACTCAATGAGATGAATGCCCAGTTCCTGGCACTGGAAGATCAGAGTCTTCATTGGGTTCAGCCACCCAAAGGGTTCAGCTACATGGCCACTCCTCTTCCCTGTGAGATGGTTTCAGGAAGAAGGTGGGAGGCTTAGGCTTGGATGTGTCTAAGAAACAGAAAAACAAAGAACCCATCTCAACATAGACAAGGCAGCTTTCACCCTTTGACTCTCCTCTGGGGTGACAAGGAATTGTTTGAAACCTGCCCACTTCAGGCATGCTACGGTGGTTCAAAGGTTACAGGGTCAGTTTAGGTTTCTTACAACATGGCCATGGTCACAGATTCCTGATCGCTCTCATTCCTGTCCTCCTGTCACACCCAGCCTCCCACCTGGCACTCTGTGGCCCTGCTGGGTCCTCCTGAGCCTCTGAACAGGCTCCTCCCCGTACCTGGGCTACCCCTCCTGCATTTCTTGGCTTGACTCTTATGATTTCTCTCCTTCTAGAACTCTTCCCCTCACCCCAGACTGGGCCAATAGCCTCCTTTTAGGATAGTTCCACTTAATCCCAGTATATACTGAACTTTAATTGGTCTATAAATTCACGGCAATGTGCTGGACACCATTTGTATCTCTGTGTCATCTCTCTTCACCCACTTTCTGGAGCCTGTTTCCACCCAAAACCAGGAAGCCAGAGGGGACACTTCACATGCAAATCAAAGAGAAGAATGGGGCAGGGACCCCTTGTTATGACGATTCCTTAATGAGAGTAAAGGGGAGTTTGTGAAAAGGGGGTGACAGGCCTGTAGATGACACCTGCCTCTTGCTGCATGGTGCTGAAGCTGAGCCAATGCTGGGAGCCAGGTTTGATCCTGGGGGTTCCTGCACTCAGCGAGGTAAGGAGGAATTTCCATAAAGCTTCACAATGGAGGTCAGTGGAGGTCAATATGGGCAATTCAGGCCTCACGTGAAGATGGAGGAAGCAAAAGGAGAGAAGAGGAGGAAGGAAAGGGAACAGAGGAAGGCAGAAGGGAAAGTGGCAAGTTCAAGTTCATTTGATACTTTCCCCATCCCACAGGATTCCTTTTCTTTGCCATGAATCCCTAATACCCCTGCCACTCTCCTTGTCACCCCAACTCTTGTCACTTCTTGAGTCCATCATGCGGGGGTGCTGAAAGGATTAATGAGACCCACCTAGCACAAGGTGCTTGTGCTCATTCATTCTGGCCCCTGACAGTTCTAATTCTTACAATTTCCCTGCACCGAATGCCACACCACTCAGATCTCCACCATCCTGAGCCTTCCTGCCAGCAAAGGGAAAGGAAACTGCACACTTGTGACAGCAGGGCCCAGGTGGATGTACAATGCTCTGAATAACAGGTAACCTGACTCGCTTAAGCTTTAAGATACTTAAGAATCTGCATGTAAGAGCTGGGGATTTGTAGACTTTATGTCTTGGAGGGCAAAGAAATTAACTATCCCGACAATTTTCATACGTCCAAAGTAACCCCATTGCTGTGAAGTACATTCTAAACGCAAAGGTTTGCTTCCACAAGGACAGGGGAGGGGGGCTGATGACTCATTGGAGAAACTCGTGAGGTTGCCAGGCTCGTATCATACCCCTTTCGTAGGTGAGGAGACGGAGGCTGAGAGTTTCAGGCTAATCTCCTAAGAGTCTGGAGAGAAGCCAGCTGTTCAGTCTCAACATCCCTCTTTGCTGGGCAAGGGAATGGGGCACACGCTCAGGAGAGCCCCATTAGATCAAGGCTCTGCAGTTCCATCTTGAAGTTCTTAATGCCTTTGAGCCGGAGCCCTGCACCTTCTGCAGCTGGTCCTGCTCACAGCTCCGTGGACCACCAGGAAAGCTGGAAGCCTCTCAGCTCCTGCAACTCCTGGGCTGCCCTCTGCTCTTGGTCTCTGTACTGGCTCAGCGGCCCCCCCACCCCCACCCCACTGATGACGCCCCTGAGCCCTGGTGGCACCCAGTGTGTGCAACTCCACACCCTGCTGAATAAATTAGCACCCACCTCTCTCAATTCATCAAAGTCAAAACTCTCTAAAATGAGTTTAATTAAAACAAGAGGCTCTTGGGTTTGCTCAGATTAGATAGTGATCAAACCTACTCAGAATAGTGGAGTTCTCCTTGCTCTTTGGCTGGATCTGTCTTTCTCCTATTTCCTCCCTCTGATGATCTCCAAGTCTGGATTTAGAAAGGGGCAGAGAGGAAGAGAGGAAGGGAGCAGAGAAACAAGAGAAAAATGAAACTAACGCTCCTCTTCCTCACATCCCAACCCCAGAAAGGTCTTACCATTTTAAAGGCTTGAACGTGCCGCACCACGGTCACTTCCGGCCACTAATGCGCAGGTGCCCTGACACCTTGTGGCCTACTGTCGTACCTGTAAGTCAGAGGAGAAAGCTTTGCATCCTTCTGATGGTGGGTGGTACCAGGCGAAGACACCAACCCTCTCTCCAAATCTTTCTGGCCGCCTCTTCAGACAGCCCCCAAACCCCACTCCCTCCTTAATATTCAAGCAGCCCCTCATCTCAGCCCACAATTGACATTCGATGGATTCTATTCAGAGCTCTCCCTCCCTCCCATCTCCTTCAAAGGTCCATGAAAAGTTGATGCGTAGCCACACATATAACAACAGAAAGGAAAGAACCCACAAATCAGAGCAAACTCTTGGATTTTCTTTTATTATGCATTTGACAGTTAGTAATTTCTGAGTGTTCGCACAACAAATGAATTTCTCTCCAAGATACCATCTCGCCACTGTGCCAAACAGTGCATATGAGTTTTTAAAATGTAATTCAAGCTTAAAGGGATATGAGTTTAGATTCAGAGCGCAATTTAAAATCTCTCCATATCTATACAGTGACTTTACTTTTAGCAGATCCCATAAAGGAGCTGAAGTAGAGAACAGTTCCCCAATAAATAATTGCTTCTCTAAACTGTACAAAATCCTGCTAGCAAATCAGTTTGCTTTCACTTCCTCCTGGTAGATGAGCATGTTTATCCCAATAATAACTTACGAAATGTGCCTCCCGAGATGGATATCTGGTCGAGGCCAATGTTACATCGTGCACCACCTAAAATGTCTCCGCACAGAGACCCTCCTCATGGCTCTGTGACCCGCGGGGGAGATGGACAGCTGCTCCCCGTGTGCCCAGTAGAGGGGACAGCATCCCGGTGACTCACACTCGCCTCGAGAACGCAGGAAAGGAGAACCACGGGGCGTTACAATTCCCAGATGTTGCCAATTATATAGATAAATAGGAATTTACATAATTTATGAAGAGTTTGTGTTTGTGGTTTGTTTTGAAGCCACTCCCCAAAGATCCACATTTACTGGGAAAGCAAACATTCAGCCTAATCGCTTTGCAGGGCGGGGCTGTCTTTACAGCTGGCTTCCTGAAAAGGAGGCCTTCACAGCACAGGACGGTGTCTATAGTGACACACAGGGCCAGTCCGGGGAATGAGTACAAGCTCTGTATGACACACCGAGTTCAAAACCAGCAGACATCTCTCCTCTTCTTGTCCCAAGGAGGACAGCCTCTGCGCTCTTTGCTTCTTCTGTCTTCTTTCTCTGACATGCACTGTTCAGCTGAAATTTCTGAGTACTACACGCTTCAAACTCAAGAACTACTGTACAGGCATGACCCAGGCCTGAAGCCGACAGCTCACCCCACACCAGCTCACAGCCCGCAGACGGGAAGCCAGCCTGTCCCGGCCACACACGCACTGTCCATCTAACACGAGACGGACGTGTGTTTACTTTTGTAGACAGCCAGCTCGGCGTCCACCTACTCTCCCAGAGAAGTCATGTCAAAAGCCGGTAAGTGGCTTTCGGGCTTGCCGTACGTCTCCACAAACAATATCCGGCGTGAAACTGGAGCTTCGGGCATCTGGTCCCAGGGCACATCTGGGATCGTTTTACCCATTAGGGAAACTGGGGTCACTGAGATCTGGGCATTCTCGGAGTAGGGGTGAACTGTTAAGTGGGGACTCTCCGGGTGGGTTTCCTGCCCCAGGCGAATTCACTCCTTGTCCCTAAAGAAGTGGAAATTTGAACTGCGTGTGAGCCACGGCTCTGTGCCGGAAAAGAGCAGGCAGGCAGCGAGGAGCAGGGTGAAGTCCGCAGAGGGGAGAAAGCATCAGAGTCGGCCACCTATGGACAGAACTGTTGGAAAAGGATAACTGCTCCCTGCCATGTTGCCAGTGGCTCCCCAAAGGATCACTAGCCACACAACAGAGCTGCGACCCAAATGGAATGGTGTGCAAAGGGTGCCTCCACCTCCAACAGCCCCAAGTCGGGGATGGTGGCAGCTGCTGCTCTAAGAATGTGGCACTGGACATCACTAACTTGAGTCTTACAAGAAAGCAGCTTGTGAAAGACTTTCTTCCCAAGGAAAGATTTTTAAAGGAGCTTTGATGTGAATCATAAAAACCCTGGAAGAGCTGCCTTCTGGCGGCAGAACATACTAACCCTTGAACATACCCCAGGGCCTTTGCACTTCCCAGTCCCCCTGACCAAAATACCACTCCTTCACTGGTCCTCAGGACTCACTTCCTTCAGGCTTTGGTGCCAAGGTCACCTGACCCATCAGACTACTTCTATTCCCCCAGTCATGAACCACAACCAGCCGACACTTCCCCCTGCCTTGCTCTCCTGTTCTCCTTTTCACACCTCACCCACATCGCACACATTGGTTTGCAGTCTGCTCCCACCACCACTGAAGCTCCTTGGAGAAGACTCTCTGCCTTCTTCCCTGCTGCATCCCCAACATGGAGAATGGTGCTCAACGGCTCCACTGAGGGAGAAAGAAGGATGTTGAAACCCCAGAGGGGGGAAGGAAAATGCAGTTAGCGCTGGGCTTTTCGGATGGCAGATCCTGAGATCCGACCACCTCGGCCCTGCCCTGTGTGGGTTCTCCCTCTCAGGCCGTGTGTGAAAATCACGTCCCCGGTCCCAGCTCCAGGAAGGGCTGGGCTGCGAAGTCTTGGTCCAAAGGAAAGAAAGCGAGGGGCAGCAGCCATGAGCAGGCATCGGCTGAGCTTTCGCCCAGGCAAGCTTAGGTCCACTGGCTCACCCTGGGGGACGAAGCTTCAAGCTTGTAAAGCGACAGGAGCAACAGGAGGAGACCACTAGAAAATCTAGGGGCACAGATCCTCCCTTTGCGGAAGCGGATGGTGAGAGCAGGAGCCCCAAATGCTGTCTTGTGAAGAAGCGAAACATAATGCATGCGAGGTGGCTAATTCTTCACTCTATAAACGTGGGCAGCTTGTTCAGACTGATGCCAAGTGCTACCCGTGCCAGAAGAAGTGCGTCTGGAGAGCAGATGCGGGTCTAGAAGGCAGCAAGAGTCAGAGGTGCTGCAGCACCCACCCTCCTGGTGCCGAGGACCCTCAGCCACTGGGACCAACACCCTCCTTCCGCTGGCCGTGCTGCCCCGTACCTGGCCTGGCCTGTGGGCGACTCATACCTGGAAAGGAGCAGCACAGTAAGCGGTGCCGTACCTGCGGCCATCCAGCGTCTGTGTGCAGAACCGTACACAGGCCTTGTCATCGGTCCCCACACACGCACAGCGCAAGTGTGTCTGCGGCGAGTGCTGTGAGCTCCCCGGAAGTGGCGCCAAGGACCTCTTGCCCCGGAAGCTTCCTCTGTAGTTGGACAGTCCATAGGGCACAGTCCGTCTGCAAAGAACAAAGTGGGGTCAGGGGAGCACGGATGGGCCTCCTGCTCAGGGTTCTCTTCGGGGTGCAGCAGAACTGGCCCCTGCTGGATGAGAAACATTTTAGTTTGGGAGGCTCTGGAGCCGCGATGGCGAACCTTTTAGAGCTTCCAATGATAACAAACGACTGGCCGTGGCACACCTACCATAGGTTCGCCACCACTGCTCTAGAAGAAAGTGCATGGTCCCTGCCCCACCAATCCCCTGAAAGTGAGTAGGGCTGCAGGGATGGGAAGATGCAGAACCAGGCAGGTCCCCCTCAGAGAGCCACACAGATGCAGAATCACCCTCAGCCTCCCCAGGCCGCCACACACGAGTGTGCCTGTGAGCCCTGTGCTCTGGGCCCTGCCTACCACACAGACTTCAGTGTTTTCCAGGCTAAACGATGCAGGTCTTGGCCTCTAGAGCATGCTCTCTCCTCCCCGCCTGGAAGCTGGGCTGGGGACTTCAGTATTACTCTCCATTCCCTGCAGGAGAGTCAAGAAACAAATAAGAGTAACTGGACACCTTGCCTGGAGAATGTTCTTCCTGTGCCCAAAGGCCTGACATCTGGGATGACCCCATGCTAGTCCACATCTGCATCCTTGCCGCAGCACCTGGGCCTGAGCGGCAGCACCTGTAAGACCCTTGACATCCACCTCCCTAACCTGGCTGCTGGAGGTGTCCCCGACGTGTCCTCTACTAACAGACTCGCCCATCAGCGCCCACTTAATGAGAACAGGAAAGATGCGACTATGGTCATCAGAGATGTGTCCTGATCTCTTGAGCGCCACTTATTGGAAGAGACAAACATCCGTGCCCTCTGAGAAGTGTTGTCACCACAGCGGCAGGAGAGCCACAGATGGAACTGGCCTCGGAGGAGTCTTACTGTGAAGCCAAGGGAAAAAAGAAGGCTGAAACTGTTGACTACTTCTCTTTGTTTACGGTTAGCAGAAGGAAGGGTGGGGTATGGTGGTGTTTGGAGCAATAAACATTTCGTTTTATGTGTGTAGATCCTATCCATTGCTCTCCAGAGAAGAAAGATGGCCAACTGAGAGGAAAGTTGAAACCATATGCTCGATCCATTACTACTACTGAGTATGATTTAAGGACAGATTAATAAAGAAGTTTATGTGGCCAAAGCCAATTTTCCAACAAGTCTTGGTTTTCCTGCGCATCCCCAGAGAGTCAGCCACCTTGGTTTCTGTGAGCCCCAGGAAGTATCACCAATTACCCACCTCGAAGGGTGGCCTGACATCTTCCCTGTGTTTTCAAAATAAAATCCAATTGAATTTCTTTTCATTAGAAATACACACCATGGAGCCTTTTGGAGCCAATAAGGGCAAATTGGACAGGGGTGCCCTGCAGTGATCAGATGTTCAACAAGAAGACCCTGCTCTCCCCCGGGCTGCAGCCTGGAGCTGGGGAATCTGTTCAGCCCTATTCTTCTCCTTCTCGGAGACAGCAGAACAGCGGTTCCCTGCTGACCAAGCATGCCCAGCTGTTGAGCAAACGGAGAAGGCAGGCAGGGTCAGCCCTGTTAGAAGCTGAACCTTTTCTCATAGCCCCTGTTCTTCTCCAAAATGTGAAGTGGCGGAGAGGAGAAAAAACAATGCAGCCATTGTTGTGGGCTGGGATTTGGTGAAAGGTCTGTTTTTTTCAGTACCAGGGCTACATTAAATCACTAAGTGTGGACATTAAATCCAGTCCCCCTTTCTCAGTGAAAATCACACACAAGGAATAATGAGGCGCCCATTTCTCCATCAACAGTGAGACCTGCAATTTTGAAATCGCTGTCAGCTGATTATGCATTTATGGCTTTAGAGCCACTCAACTGGAGCAAAATACTCTGAAGTGTTTTAAGTAAGGAAACAAGGCAACGGGTGTTTGTTAACAGAGAGGTGCTTAGCACTTCCCCAGCAGGCAGGCCAGTATACAAACAGCCCACAGATTTCAAAGGCTGTTGACAGAGCCACACACTCCCCTTCCCTTGGACTGGAAGACTTAGCAGAGTCCCCTTAACTAGCATTTGTAGAGTCTGGAACAAGAATTCACCTCCTATAATAGGCCTACAAATTTAAAGAGTTTTAAGTGTGATAAGCTCTTAAACAAGAGTTCTACCCCTCCACCTGGAAAACGTGGCTTCAAAATACTGTGGAAGTCCAGCCTTGAACTTAGGATTCAGCTTCTCCCTGGAGTCCCATGTTGGAATTTGGCAGCCCCAAAGAGCTTCGCCACCTTTTCTTCCCTGCTATTCCCTCCCACAGCAAAGAGGTTCTCATCCACTCCAGGGAGATACCCCGGCCTACAGCTCCAAGCTCCACCTACCCTCTAGCCTGCAAGCAGCTGCCTGTGACCACCTCACGGCTGGGGGTACGCGCTGAGCTCCGCTATGCCCAATGTCACGGCCTAGAGGACACCTGCACAGGCCCTGGGAGTCAGCTGGGGACTTCCGGGTAGGAGACTCCAGAAAGTCAGATAGTTGGAAGATGCTCTAGAAGGAGTAGAATATAGCTTTCAGATACACAGTCCTTGCAATGGGGAACATATGGCCAAAAGAGGATGATGGGTGGCCTTCGAAGTCACAGATCCTGATCGAGGGGTTTCTTACCCACCCCTAAGAGTCGATGATTGGCTCCTCAGTGCAGAAGGCAGGTCTTTTTACTACTTTCTCTGTACCCATCATGGTCTTAGTACACGGCTGGTTAGATGAAAACTATTGCCTGAATAACTGGTAGCTAATTGCAAGATACTTCTAGTCTAGCAAGACTTTTCACTCTCCTGAATGACGATAAACATCATTACAAAGCATTTCCAAAATCTGCCAGATGCTATCTACCTAGAGTTGTTTTAAGTTTGATATCGATACAGAAAGGAACATGAATCTGTGCCTCTGGAAATTGGCATCACTCTGGTATGAAAGTAGGTAAAAGACACGTATCTAGCCAGTGTGGACAGGTACATAGAATGCAGAGAGAATGCCTGATAATTCCATTATTAAATTGTGAGGCACTTACATGACGATCATTTGGCCCTCTCAAAATTTTCCTGGCTGGCAAAAGAAAGGGCTGTTGAACAAATGGAATGAGAGGCTTCATGGAAAATACTTAGCAGAGAGTTAGCAATAAATGAAAGTTGGCTGCTAATGTTACTGATTTGGACTGGGAAGTTTTGACCTGCATCAGGCAGAAAAGTCCCATTTACAAGGCCAGTGTTTGAGATATGTGACTAAGCGATAAACAAGGGTAATAAGGAACCAGAAAGCACATAGCCCAGCAAGGCCATTCTCTGCCACGCTGTCATTTACCATCGCCCATCTCATCGGTGCTGGTGTTCCAGTGGTACTGTGCTCTTTGTCACTGTTTCCTAAGCAGGTAGCAGTAAAGGTGGAAGGGTGGAACCTTGAAAATGTAATGACTTTGGATCTGACGCCCTCACACTGTTCAGTAACAGGGCTTAGGAAGCACAGCTCTGTGTAGAAATGGGCAGCTCTTCCGTCTGCTGTAACTCAGAGCCCCAGACAGAAAACAAGCAGATGGAGATGGGAAAAGAAAACACCCTTCAGGATACACACACACATCGTCCAGCGCCACGTGTGCTTGTGGATAAACGGTCCGTCAGCATGCACACATATAACATCCGTTATTCTGTGACGATGATGCCAGAGTACTATTTATCACAATGCTCCTGTGTGTCACGTTTTCCCAAATATCACATATAAATATCATTAACTATTAAAAACTTCCAAATCTCCTGTGTTCATCATTCATCTGTACCACCACACCAAACACACCTTGTCTCTGCAATAAGTTTATGCCAAGTAACTTGCTTTCTTTTTTTGGGAAATTCTGTTCTTAAATTCTACGTCACCTTTTCCTAAAGGAATTAGCCACCTCCATTTTCCTGATCAGGACACTGACTTCTGTTGCCTAAAGCTTTGAGGGCAGACACAGACAGTCACAAAGGCCAGTCAAGCGGCAGAGGGGCCTCACATGCCCGACTCGGGGTTCTCGGGGAACTATTCAATCTGCCATTCCCTCACCACAACCCCATTTTCCTTTCTCCGACTGAGTGGCATTGAACAAACAGTTGCCGAAAGCATCCAGGCACAGGGGTAGATGCTGGGTGAATACCATGAGCTGGGCCAGGGTCCCTGCACACACAAAGTTTTAGTCTCAGATATTCGTGAACTGGCATTTGGTCAGCTTCGTCCAATCAGCAGAGTGTGCTGTCACATCCGGGTCTTTTGCTGAGAAGTCCAAACTTCAAGCTTCTCTTGAATAACTGGAAGTTGTGCAGATTCTAGTCTCGATTTCCAACAGGGCAATGCCTGCCCAGAGTTGGCTGTGTAGAAGCTCCCCACTCTGCCCCCGGCTCTGCCCATCCTAATCATTTTACAGCTGTCTTCCTAGGCTATTTTTGCCCTGTGCCTCGCCCTCATGGGCATCTCAGTTTACAACTCCCAGGATAGTGTTTTGTCCCATAAAATGAAGCCAGACAGGTGACAAGACACACTGACAAAATTAGTGTCCAATGCTATTTTGTTTATAAATATAGTTTTGTTTTGTTTTTTAATTTAACAAGCCTAAGTCCTAGCCAAATGTCTTCCCAACAAGTCAGACATGTTTGCCTCACATTTCGAACACTGGTCAAACCAATGATCTGCCTTCTCTGGTCGCATTTTCCTTCTGAAGTGGGAAGCAAAGGCAGCGAGGGCCTGTGTTGACCGTTAGGCTGGGAGGAGGAGAAGTAACTGTCTCCCGCCAGCAGACAGCCAGGAGGCAGCCCAGCTGCCAGGCTCCAGTGGTCACAGGACACCACCTCTCCCTCCCAGGAGAAGCAGATCTGAGGCCCTGACCATCTAACTAGGGCTCCCTTTCAGATGTTTTTAAAGTTTCTCCTCAGAAGGCACCATTCAACTTTCCCAAGCTTAGCCCTTTTGAGGAGAAGAACAGTGCCTGACACTTTCATGCACCATTTTGAAAACATTAACCAGTTATAACTTTGTTCTAATGAGTAAGACCAGAAGTGGCTGAATATACAAAAGGCTGTGAACATATTTACACAAACATCTAGTAGAAGCCCGCTGTAGAAGGAAGAAATAAGCTTGGTAGCTGGGGGACCTGCTCTCAATGACTCAGCAGTAAGGAATTCTCAGAGCCTGGGATCAACAGTCATTGTTTTTGTCTCCCAGAGTCATGACTCATTCTCTTTTTGGGTGGGTGGGTGTGGCTGGGGGTGTAGCTCAGTGACCTCATTCACCTAACCTGTACAAGGCCTTAGGTTCAATCCCAGCACCAAGAAAAGCCATATTCCTTTGGGACATTATCCCTCTCCCATTGTGTGAGGTCCCCGAGAGGCTGACCGCGGGCCTGCCTCGCCTGCCTCTGTTGAAGGCCTGGCTGGTGACCTAAACTGGGACAGCCAGACCCTCTCTCCCCTGAGACTCCTGGATGAAGAGACTTAAGGTAAGAAGCACTCCAGGGCTTCTCTTTGGCAGGTGGCTGCATCCTGCCTCAGCCATGCAACTGCACCCCCGGAACCTCCCATTTTGTCCATTCTTCCTCCTCCTTCCAGGCTGAGAGCATCCTGTGTCCTTCCAGCAAACTCCTTTCGCAAATTGCTAGCTAGACTGGTGTCTGGTGCTTGTGACCAGTGAACTCTAACTGCTCCCATGCCTCACATTCATGAGACGGCAATAGTGGTCTTGGGTGTTAGAAGGAGGCCTTCGGTCTCTCCAGCTGCTGGGGACAGGCAAAACTTTTCTTCACTGTGACAGTACACAAAAAAGCATGTTCAGAATCAGGACAAAATCCAGCAGACTAAGCTGTCTGGAGACTTTTCCTTCCAGATGTGCCCACTGTGAGATGTGGTTTTGTTCCTGCTGTCCTTCAGCAGGTGGAAACAAGCACGCTACCCACTCTGCACTCCCCAGCCCACAACACTCAGTTGACCCCTATTGTGCGCTGTTGGGCCTATTCTTTTCCCATTCATCAGATGCTTCTGCAGGTTCACTATGGACCAGACCTTACACTAGACCACCCACAGGGGGCTGCCCATCCTCTCTGGGAAAGGAAATGGATCAGGAAAACAACTTCTCAGTGGCCTCGATACACAAGCAGAAAGCTCACACACAGTCGCACATCTACACTCTCAACTGGCAATCTGTGGCTTTCTTTACCTCTGCTACAGAAAATTCCCACAGCTTAAAGTCCTTTTCCAGGAGCCCCCAGAAAGAGCAAATGATTCTAGAGTACTTGGACATATCAAAAGCAGCGAGTGGGGTGGGGAATTTGGCTCAGTGGTTCTGCTACGTGCCTTGGGAGCACAAGGGCCTGAGTTTGATCCCCAGTACCACCACAAAAAAAAAAAAAAAAAAAAAAAAAAAAAAAG